CTCACGCAAAACACATGCAAAAGTCAATACATTTGGTTGTTTTTATTAAAGAACCAGGCTCAACTTAAGACATAACGATTGCACATTCCACCGTAACAACCGCAAATAAATATACCTCAAAAGCCAAAGGGCAAGTTCTCTGTCCAATGATCCAAGTTCCTGAAAATCGCAACACAGCAAAGCCATTAACACTAACTCACAGAACAGCAACGACAATAACAGCTAAGAAATAACAATGAAAATCTATTTGCGCCAATCAAACACCGCTGGAACAGGGATCATAGCAAAGGCACAACAATTAAACGATTAAAAACCACTAACTCAACCATTTTCTCGTGCAAACAAAATTGTCATCTGCATCCACTTTAAAACCATGCTTGTTCAACGATATAATCATACCAAACAGAAAGACTCGATCCATTGTTAACATCACCAACCATAATTCCCCACCAAAAAGAACACAGCTCCATACATTTGTTAGGAATGATCACAGTCGCTGCGAACCACAGAAAGGGGAAACAAATAATAGGGTAATGAACAAAAAGGGGCAAATTGCATACAGTTTGATTTCTGCAGAGAAGCTATAACACTGAAAGACCAACACAACAGGAAGAAAAAGAGAAATGAAGAGGAAGTGGTATTATCAGACAATGAAGAAAGCAGCACAAAATATCTGTTTTTCTGTCCCAATTTAATAATTTAAAAACATATCTTGCACTCCCAACTAAAAGTTGAATAACCGAACCAGAACCAGACAGAAAAAAAAAGCAGGAAAAAAAAACAGGTTCCTAAGCAAGTTCAAACCAGAAGCAGTGAAATAAGGGAAAATTTGGTTCAAAAAGGACACCTAGCTTTGAAAGGAATTGAAGCTGCCAGTTGGGAGAAATCCTCATCAATGCTTGCAGAGATAGCTTCCAGCTGGAACCAAATCTCTGAAACCAACCCTCGGTTTAGGCGTCCCTTCATGCCTCACCGCTTCTCTAAGCATACCTCACCGAGAAAAAACAAAACCCAAATTCCGGGCAGCCCTACCTATTGCATTGCTCATCCTACCCCTCCCTCTCTCCTCCAATTTTTCCTTCCAGGAGTCCTGCTCTCTCTTCTCTCTGGCATCGCACGACCCCTCTCTCTTCTCTGCCATAGGACGACTCCTCCTCTCTCTCTTCTCTCTCGCATCACACGACACCTCCCATCTCTTCTCGCTGGCATCGTTGCAGGCTAGGCCTGCCCGTGGCGCCATCCATCCGAAAAACCCAACCACAAACAAAACCCACCAACCCAGTCACAGCCCAAACCCGCAAAAGCCCATACAACTAAATCTGAAAAGAAAAATGCCCAGCCGAAATCCTTAGTGAATGTTAAGTCCGTAAATAGAGTGAAACCAGAAAAACAAAATATTATCAAATAAGTAATAATTGGAAAAACATAAACAACTTACAGCCTCCAGCTGTATGAAAATGCTTGTTTAATTTTCTTATGCTGCTTTTAGGAGATGGAAATGGAGGCTTATTCTTGTCTTGTGCTTAATGATATCAATTTCAGCTTGCTCCCAAACGTACTGCAAAAGCTTAAAGAAAGTTACAGACTTTGCAAGTAAACAATAGCCGCTAATTTTTCTCCAAAATTTTCAGATACCTCATTCCCAAACATACACACAAATAAAATAAAAGTAAACACTCCACAGTACCAATACACAACCAAAATTTGAACCTGAAAATCCATCTTCAAGGTTCTATCAAATGCGAGCATTTACTCAATTTTAAGAAGTTGTATTGTTAAAACTTAAATCCCATGATGAACCCACATTCCTTAATCTTTTCCAAAGAAGCAATAATTCACATAATGTATCCAAATTAGAAAATAACATATGATTCATGATATCTTATACTTTCATATCCAAGTTATGTTTATGCAAATCATGAGAGGCACACATTTAAATCTCATCCCACACACCCTAAGTAAAAAAGAAACCAACTCCTCCATCATTCAATGTCCAAGCAGATTTAGCATGTGGAGTAATAGAATATCAAAACGCAAGTTACAATTTTTAATGTAATTTAATAATTATTTCTTCAACATTACCTCCAAGTAGTTCTTCCGATGGAAATAATTGATTTCAAGTGCCTAACCAGTGAGGCACCCTTTCTTTCCCACACTCTGCTTAACAATCCATGAACCTGAAGAGAGAAGAATCAGTTATAAGTTAATTGATCTTTAGTTGGTTCCATAACTTGCTAATACGAAAAGAGAACAAAACAAAAAAAGTTAATCGAAGGATTTTACAAAAGCTACAAAAATTAACTAAATCTCACATAAAAAAAACCCAGAAATTTAATGAAGAATTCTCCAAAACCCACAAATTAAAACGTAAAATTCTACAAAATCATGAAAATTTTAATACAATCTAATTATATTAATCACCAAATTGAATTAGATCTTCACATCCAATAAGTAACAGAGTTTGAAAACATTATACCCCAAGAAACCCCAAATTTACAGAAATTGGGAGCAAAGATCGACGAGATCTCACGAAGCCGACATCGAAATCGTCAATCGTGTTGCAGAGCACAGTTTTTTCGTTTTGGATTTCCAGATAAAGATTCAAACCCAAAACTGAGTAATTTATAAAAAAAAAATTCACTGAATCGATTCAAGAAAGTGCGAAAATTATCAAACCTGAACACCTCTTCCGCCGTTCGCGGACTCGAGCCCATCTCCCTGCTCCTCTCCTCCATCTCACCGAAGCTCTCGTGTTACAGAAATGAAGGCCAGTTTGAGTGGTTTTGGTTTTAGGAAGCAAAAAAATGTCAATCACAGTTTTAACAAAGCAAATGGGAAACAAACAATGAACAATAATTTCTTAACAGTGTTTTACCTGTTGAATCAGAGGACAAAACCGAAAACCCTCTCCTCTCCCATACCTCCCTCAGACATCCTCTGCTCACCAACCCCGTGGGGTAACCCGTTAACCCCAAAAAACGCACAGCATGCTCTCTGCCCTATCTCTCTCCCTGTCCATCCGTCCCTCAAAAAGTGGGAAAAAAATCTCTAAACATCACTCCCACTCATGAAATCGAGGATCTGCAGCAATGGTGCTGAGATCCCCACTCCTTCCTCTCCCTCTCTCTCTCTCGCTCCGTCTGTCTCTATCCATCTCTCAGAGGAAGCATGGCCTGCCATCCCCGAAACCTGCACTGAATGACAGCAAACCCAAACCCACCCCAATCCGTCTCAAATGCACAGGACAAAATTACCCTCCTAACATTTAATAACTACGTTCCAACCCAGCCCCAAATCCCACGGTTGTGTTGTAAATAAAGCAAAATCGAGGGGGGAGGAATTGAACTCAAAAGACAAAATCACCCTCTGAATTTTTGAGAATCACCCCCCAACCCAGCCACATTCGGCTGGCATTGTTGTAAATAAAGCAAAATCAAAACAAAGGTGAATAGTGCCTGCCCTCCCCCTACTTTAGAATAAGTAATTAGGGTTTGTTTTTGAAGTCATTTCTTCCGAGTGTTCTAAAATGGAAATCCACCGCTTTAATATCATGATATTAGTTTGGTGTTGCTGCGCTTCATGCATATCATTATATAAAAGAAAACTAATGAAAAGGGCTTGAAAACTTTGAGTTTTAATGATAAGGACAAAATAAAAGGTAAAGTAAATAGTATCATGATTGACTTTTTAGTGTAAAAATGTGATTTTTCATTAAAGTGAACAGTACCGGGTGCTTTTCGTTAAAGTTCCCTTATATAAATGGATGTGAATATATTAAATAACTAAAAAAGATATGATATTTAATATGATATAATAATTGTAAAAAAAAATAGGGAATTTTAACGAAAAGCACTTAGTACTGTTCACTTTAACGAAAAACCACAATTTTCCACTAAAAAGTCAATCCTGGTACTATTCACTTTACTCTTTATTTTGTCCTTATCATTAAAACTCAAAGTTTTCAAGTTCTTTTCATTAGTTTTCCTAAAAAAATAATGCAAGGGCAATGATTGTAATTTTGTAAACTATGTGGGGGTATATTTGTTATTTAAAAATTTCTTTAAATATGCAATGATTACTATTCTTTAAAAAAAAAAAACCTTTTTTAAAGCATGTTTTTTTTAAAAGCACCGCATTCTCAAACCAACCCTAAATCATTCTAATTTGGAATTTGTATTTGATTTTTGGGGGAGCGGGTATACTATTATGGAAAGCGGATATACTATTCTGGCCAGCTTTTTTATTTTTATTTTTATTTTATTTTTTAAGGAGGATAACTGGTGACGAACTACAGTCATCCAACCCTTTCAGGCTCGTAGGAGGCTATTTGGAAATTGCATCATACCCGTGGCCACAATTAAGCAGATTTACAACTTACAAAGTATTGAATCCAAGACTTCCCTTTTTTTCTTCAAGAAGTTGTTCATACTTTTTCACTAAACTACTTGTTGTGGTTATTGTTCTGTCTAACTGACCGAACCCACATTACAGTACCACCATTATTTGAATTCCAAAAGAGGCATATAAGGACCCAATTTTACCAAAATAAAAGTACATTTTATCAAATCAAATCCAAATTTAACATTAATGAATGTGCTACGAATATATACAACCAAAAGAAGAAAGGAAACTTGGAGAAAGCAGAATTAATGAAAGAGTATTGCTACAGAGATTAAATTTGCAAACTAAATGATGTGTTATTAATAAGAATAAACACATTTATCAACGTTTAAGTAATAAATCAATCATCAACTTCTATATCCTTTCGTTTTCAAAATTTTATCTACAAATTTAATCTCATAGCATTACTCTTAATAAAAAGTGAGAATAAGTAAATGCTTGTGGTATTGGTTTGTCATTCAGTACTACGGTCTGGTGGTTTTTCTCTTCACTTGGAAGTGAGAAGTTTTAAGTTCGAATCTCGTGGATGACGAATTCGATACCAAATTAGGTTGTTCTTTGTGTAACTTAATGTAAAATATCGATGTGCTAAAAAAAAAAAAAAAAAGTAGTAAATGCTTGTGGCTGAAGGAAGGAAAATTACATACAAAATATATTAGCCGATCGTTGGATTGACTAAATCAAATGAAAATCCAGAGAGAAACAAAGGAGTCTCGCAGAAAGAGAAACCATGTATGCGGAAAATATTTCCCAAAAATTAAATCAACAAAACAATGCAGTTTCAAGCTTGATCAACTTTCAACGACAGCATTTCGAGAGAAGAACCAAGAAAATAACGAGGAAGACAAGAGAAGAAAGCGCAATGGCCACACCAAGAACAACCTTATTTGGCCCATGTTGTCGATCCTGCTTTTGATCATCCTCATCACTGTCGTCATAGTCCGAATTAGTGCTGCCATCCGCTGACGAATCATCGCCTTTCGCCTGCGGCGGCGACATGGGCAGTCCATGTTTGTCGCAGGGAGAAATCCCCAGCTTTAGTTTCGACGACAGAACAGAGTGGTTGTAGCAGAGGTTGCTGTTCCCGCTAATCTTGAACACTTGCAGTCTGCTAATGAACGACGCATTGAACGGCACGACCCCGTGCAACTCGTTGTTTTCGAGATTTAAGTGCTTCAAGCCCTTCATGTCGGAGAGGAATTTTGGGATTGTTCCGTTGAGCTGATTCGAGCTCAGATCGAGATGAACTAAGTCCGGGATTGCTGAAATCGACTCCGGGATGGCGCCGGATAAAGAATTTGAGGACAAAGACACGTTCTTTAGCGAAATCAGGTCCCCGAACGAATTGGGTATTTCGCCATTGATGGAATTGGAGGAAAGGTTTAAGGTTTCGAGGTTTTCGAGGAGTGTGAGGGAACTGGGTATCTTCCCCCGAAGCTTATTGCCGGAAAAATCGATGTGGGTAAGGTTTAAATTCATGTGCTTCGGAATGCTGCCGGTTAAATTGGCTTGGGAGATGGTGACTGACCTGAGCTTCTTCAAGTTTCCGAGGATGACGAAGGGTCCAGAGGCATTGACTTGGACGTTGGAGACGGTGAGATCGGTGAGGTTTTGGAGGCGGGCGAGCCAGACGCCGGTGAGGCGGCGGAGGGAGTTGATGCATGTGAAGGAGTGGAGGGAAGCGACGAGGTCGGCGGGGAAGCGGATTGGAGCAATGGGGCAGTTGAGGAACTGGAGGGACTGGAGGGTGGAGAGGGATTTGAGGGCGGTGAAGGAGAGGGCGACGGCGTCGGAGCAGTTGACGAGGCGGAGGGAAAGGAGGTGGCGGAAGGGCTTGGAGGAGTCGCAGCGGGTGGTGTTTGGGGGGAGGATGGAGGGGTTTGTGCAGGGGTCTTTGGAGGTGGGAATGTTGAGGGATTGGAGGGCTCTGAGTTGCTTTGGGTCGAGTGTGCTTGAAGATGGTGAGGATGGTGAGGTGGTGGAGTTTGGTGGGGTGGGGGAGGAGGTGGGAGATGGGGTTGGGGGGAGTGGTGCTGTGGCTGAGACGGCGGTGGTGGAGAGGAGGAGGTGGAGAAGTAGAGTGAGAAGCAACGGTGGGGGTTCCATTTTAGAGAGACAACAGAGAGAGAGAGAGAGAGAGAGAGATCTTGCCTGATGGGGAAAGAGAGAGAGAGAGATCTTGCCAGATGGGGAAGAGTGGGAGTGTGTATTTGTGAGAGGAATTAAGTGTGTGTACTAATGGAAGAACATGGGTTTTATAAAAAGAAAAAATAAATAAAAGAGCTTCGAAGCGAAAGATTTTTTAGTGTGTATGCAATATAAATTAGTATGTCATATGTCTTTTTATTTACATATAACGTGATTTTTTTGTGTGTATGGAATATAAATTAGTATGTCATATATCTTTATTTACATATAACGTATGTGTTTGTATTTCGAGTACGATGAAAAATCTCTTCTGAAGAACAATGAAATGAGAACTTAAACCAGCAGCCACTAACACCCTTGTAGGCAAAGAAAATAATAATAATCTACCAACTTTCTTCACTTTTATTCTTTTTGCAACATTGATTGTGAAAAATCAGAGTGGTTGCTTGTATGAAAAGGCTAACCCGGTTGAGTATGTAAATAACCGATAAAATCAAGGGCTTCCTTATGTGGCCACACTTGTACATTGTTTAAACATTTGTGCTGCATCTGCTCATATTAAAATTTAAATACAAGAACATGTTAATGCAGTAATTAATCAAATAGTAAGTAAATGGCTTATTAATCTGACAATATTCTTTTTAAAATTTAGTTTTCCGTTAAAGGCAAGGCCAAATAGCTCGTACGGCTGCCGCAGCACATTTGTGGGATCAAGTTGGTCCCACTCAGTCCACACCATTGTGAGTTTGTGGAGCAACCATACCCTAAACTCGTAACCATAGTTTGAAATATCGATAATATCGACGAAATATCGAAGATATTTCGATTTTTTCGAATCACGGAGATTTTGGAACATATCCATGTACATATAGTACAAATATCGACAATATTGACAATAATATCGGAAAATATCGATGTAAAGGAAGGAAAAAAAAACACAAAGGGGATTTGAACCCCTCCCATTTTACTCCTCCAACACTGTAACCACTCCTCCAACACTGTAACCACCATATATCACTTATGTTTTAGTGATAATATGCTAAAATATTTATATTTATATGAGTGGCATGTTAACAATTACATGCAAAACTATTTTGGGGATTTATCATTTGATGAATACTCTTCACAATAAACTTACTCTACACATAGAGATAATGAAGATAGTGAAAATTTTGAACCTCATAGGAATTTTATGTGGTACTAAATCACTCATGTATTTTACCATGCAATGTATAAAGTGTAAAATATTGTAGTAAATCATTATATATAAATGATTATGGTATGTTTAATTTTTTTTCATAAATTACTACATATTTTCTACATTCACAGTGTTTGCCAGCTCGCTGTATAATCAACTTAAATCAGTTAAATCCATCATGTAATGCATTTCCTTCTAATGTTTTTTGATAAACTAATAGATAATTGACTAAATAAACATTTTTCAAAGTTTCAATAAAAAATTCCAAGTTTTTCTTACAATTTTCGTGGTTTTTATTCAATTTTTATCGATATCGATAATATCCCGATATTTCCATCGAACTTTCCATGTTTTTGGACTACCAATATTTCCGATATCATCAATATTTTATACCATGCTCGTAACACCGTTGGAGGAAAACTTCGATAGGGCTACTTAATTAAGGTAGCTCTTGCACCAAGTGTAACTACAAGTCTAAAATATATAACATCCTTTATTTTTGCAAAGCTGCTCTGCAGATGACGTGGTCAAAGTGCCAAACAAAGTTTTTTTTCTCCACATCGTCAAGTAGTCTAGAAAAGAAATACTCACAAATGCAGTACCTTATATATGTGTCAATTCATTACAATTACAACATCTTCTTACACTGATATTGTAGGGCAGCAATGCTTAAATCTTTACACACTGATTGTCAAAATCCATAAGAAAAAGGAAACAAAATCATTACAAATCTTCCTAAACTACAATGAGAGGAGAAAGAAATCTGGCCGGCAGTTCCACAAAGAACTCACATGTGATTCCCAGAGATCAAGTTTTTCCTCGCATTCAAACTATAACGAATGCAACATCGTGGAAAACTTTGTCGTAATTTCTCAGCAGTCTATGGAAATGCAGCTTTGAGCAAGCGTTGAGCTGTCCACTTTGCTCACAAATGGATTTATCTTCACCCAAACAAGGGAGAAGACAGAGGCCAAGAGCACTGACCACAAAACAACGATGGTTGGAGTCCGGTTTTGGCGTCCCATGAGACCTTTGAGGAAGGGATATAGATGAAGAATCACCCAGAAGGCAAAGAAAACCTTCCCGAAAAGTGGCCCCCAAGCTTCGTATCCCTTGTTGAGGGCGTCCGAAAATCCTGCAACAACACCAACCATGTTGACGATGAGGAGTGTAGTTGGGGGGAATCAAAAGTGTGGTCCATTTGATCAGATAGAGCTCTCCGAATTCTGTGTCTTCGGCTGATTTGGTTGTGACGGTGAAGTTGGTGTCAATTCCGGCCAACATCTTTAAGAAACCTTGGAAGACGGCAAAGAGATGGGCTGAAACACCTCCGATCACCCAGAACTGCTCGTTACGCCATAAGTCCTCAATGCGGACTCCACTCCACCTCAACTCAAGCACACTTGTAGCAATGATGGAGATGAAGAGGCCAAGAAACAGGGCACTTGCCAGGTTTGTAAGCTGAATCAAAGATCAAAAGAATTATTCTCTACTCGATAAATGTAGTGACCGAGTTTCTTTGGTATCAAGAAACACATTCAACGATTCAACAGTTTAAAACTGGTAATGTGCTAGCCCTTCCACAAGCGCGGGAGGCGTTTTATTACATCAGTCTAAGACAATGAATGCAGAAAAAACTTACTGTTGGGATGATGAATTTTCCTGTGAGAAGGCATATTGCAGGGAGTGTGCAGTAAGCGACGAGAGGGAGGGATGTGAAGGGGTAAACAATAGTGTTGATATATGCCATTCTCTGAAGCAATTTGAGGCGGCCTCCTGCAAACCCGTACCAGAGAGGACAATGTCTACTGAGGAAAATTTCCACCGATCCCAGTGCCCACCGAAGAACTTGGTGCAGTCGATCAGAAAGGTTAATGGGAGCTGACCCTTTGAATGCAGGTCTCAAGGGCATGCAGTAAATTGACCTCCATCCACGGCAATGCATCTTGAAACCGGTTAAGATATCCTCAGTGATTGATCCATATATCCAACCAATCTGTGGAAAAAAAAAAAAAAAAAAAGAGAAAATAAACCATCTAAATAGAAGAACACTGCTTACTGAGTAGCAGCCAAAATTCGTGAATAAGCTTCTAAAACTTCAACATTTCGATCAAGTAGTTCTACAAAAGCTGAATAGTACCCTACCTCTTTTCCCCACGCGGTCTTCTCTTCATAACCACAGCTAATGACGTGAATCGCCTCCTTGATCAATGTTGAAGGGTTGGAAGATTCGGCCACTCCTCCGTTCTCCATTAGCGTAGATTCGATGAATACAGACGATAATCCAAAAGTTTTCTCAAAGCTTGTCTGCGAGATCAGCATTGACCTCTCAAGCTCATCATAATCTGCATAAGACAATATCTTTTATATACTGAAAGCCCAACTGCAGGCCATTTGTCTAAATTCAGTTTCAATGAAGGTCTAGTGATGGCATACTCTCAATATCACGGAGGTTAAAAATGGCAGCATCAAGCTCCTCCTGTTTTGCATCTCGATAAGCCTCTGACACATCTTTAGAGGGCTTCTTAGAGGGACAGCAACAAGAGCAGGAGGATGAGGAAGCAGCCTTGGATAAGGCGGGCATAGAAGGAGGACCGTAGCCGTAAAGTGCTTGCCTGTTGAAACAACATCCTGTCCCCACATATACTGGACCTTGAATGCCATCCAGTCCTTTCATGTTAACCTGAAATTAGAGATTTGTATATTTTCAAAACTTCAATAGTTCTTTACAACTGTGCAGGAAATGTAAGGTTACTGTCAAAATGTGGGGATATGTATGATAGCTTTGAACTCACATCAAAGAAAACTGTGTTGCGATTAGCATATCGATCACTGCGATCAATACCATCAAACCTCTGAGGAAACTGCACATAGCATACTTCTCGACCGACTTGAGGGTCCATCAAGAAACACATTGCCTCACGAATTGCCTGGCTGTTGTTAACGTAGTGATCACAGTCAAGATTGAGGATGTATGGGGCATTTGTGAGAACTGCAGACACCCTTACCTGTATCAAGCCAATCAAGCAAGTTAAAAATGAAATTTTAGAGCACTCGGATGGGGTATTATCACTCTTATAGCATGTATATATACCAAAGCATTTTCAGCACCAGCTTTCTTGTGATGTGGGTAGCCGGGTCTCTTCTCTCTCGAGACATAAACCAATCGAGGAAGTTCATTTCCCTCGATGTCATAGGCACCGCTATGTCCAAGGAACACCTGAGAAGGGTAAAAAGAGGCGTTACATTTCAAAACGCTTTTCAAAATATAAGGTATCACTACTGTCACTTTAAAATCATGGTTTTCCCAGATGAACAGAGTTTTTAATCATATATTCCAGTTATTTTATAGCTCAATTGATCTGTACTTGACTCGGATAGATTTTGTTTAGATCACAAAAGAATATAGGGCTCGTTAGAGAAGTATAACATTTTCAAAAATTGAACTAAATAAACCATAGGGTATCTGTCTACCTGGATCATCCCAGGATGGTCACGCGAGTTATTTCCTGGCCATGGAGTTCCATCTTGCATAGTCCATCCTTCTTCTGGTGTTTTTTGAGCCTTTGCTACTAAAGCATTCATTCGCACTTTGAACTCTTCATAATCTCTCTGTAAAAAGTTATGAAGTTGTAATTAACAAAAGCTTTTTTATAGTTAGACAAACAACTAGTACGATTGCTCCATTTGATTTCGATGTCATATTCTCATGAGTATTCAGTTGCAATTAGAAGAAGCTTCGGCCATTAGGTACTTACTTTCATCGCTCTGCGCTCCTTCACAAAAGATGGTTGCACTTTATCCTTCAAGTAGTCAATCTTTTGTGAGAAGTAAAACTCAGGTGCACGTGGTTCAATTGAAAATTTCTTGCAGAAAGGAACCCACTTTGTTGCAAATTCAGATGTTTCGGCAAGGGATTCAAATGTAAGCATGGCAGCACCATCATCAGACACATAGCAGGAAACTTTGTCCACAGGGTAGTCTACAGCAAGGATAGAAAGCACGGTATTGGCAGTAATCAAGGGCGGTTCTTTCAACGGATCAACTGTACTTACGAAGAAATCCACAGCAGCAAGCTCGGAGAGTTCACCCTCTCTTTCAAACCTGGCATGGAAGTTTATACAACCATTCAAATGTACATCCAACACGAAAACATCAGTTAACCTACCTTGGTAACCAGGTTAAAGCATAAGAAAAATCAGTTGAAGATATATACCTGGCAGATAACCTGTCAGTAAATGTAGTCCGATTAACTGGAGACCACTTAGGAAACTGATCCAACACCCAAGAAAAAGCAAACCAGATCTCACATATGATCGAAGTGAACCATAGACCGTAAGCACTATCAACAGGATTTGTTACTCGATAATGGAAGAAAAGGGCGAGAATGATCAATCGCATAATTATAACAGTTCTGTATGGTGTGATTCTGTTAGATGGAAGTGGGACGAGAGTTGAAAGTGGTTCCGCAGCCTCTGATGAACTGCATAGAAGGCCATAATTCAAACAACAGACTAGTTCAAAATAAATAAAGCATCAAATGTTACATATTGTATGTGATCCAAAGTCGGAACACATCCAAGTTCATACTTGCATATTTGTTCTTTTGCTTCCTTTTGAAAATTAGACTCCGACACTTCCCAAAATATTAACATGTTTTTAACCATTTCATTAACTGTGTCTATGAAGAATCGTTAGGATACTGAGACGAAAGATAGGAAACTGAATACCATGAGTAAAACTTACTTATGTTTCGATATATAAAGCTCGGAATACCTATGTGAGACATTTTTATCTCAACCTAACTCATAGAGATGCATAGTATAGTGCGAATGCTTTGTTCTTCTCTTTCGTATCTAATATTTGGAATCGCAGGATTACTACGAACATGAAATAACAGCATACGAGTCAAACTCATCTCGTCTAAGCCAAAAACAACAGATTTTCCTTTCATGAACACCTGAACCTTTGCATGACATAGACAACAGTTACAGCTTTATGGAAGAAGAATCGAAAACACGAAGCCTAAATGAAAAAACTAGCACCGTATACTTTCGAAACTGCTTTATCATTTTTTTTTTTGTAGTGTCCTATATATAAACCCATGATTTGATTGTACTTACTATTCCTCTGTCATCTGCTTCTCAGGTGGAATTTGAGCCTCTTTTTCCCCATTAGGTGTATCCTTTTTCTTCTTGATCTTTTTATCCTTCTTATCCTTCTTATCCTTCCAACTTTCCACTCTATTCTTCCAAATCGGATTGCCAGATTCATCGTTTAATTCTTCAAGGATGACAAAAAGAAAAGAACGCAAATTAGTACAAATGAGACAAGGGGGCTAAAATCATTCACGAAAAGAATTATGACTCACCACTATCCAACGTAGACACACTGCTGATATGCCTAGCATGAATTCCTGTATCCTGCTGAAACAGGTATAAAGTATAAACATTAGCAAGCTGTAAGAGTACTTAAATTAGAGTTGTAGATACACATTCGTACCTGTGTATTATTCAGGTGAGCTTCCATTGTGGATCGAGTGCCTGACACCTTTGTTTCATACTCCGCCAACGGGTTATCTGAAGAACTTAAGAGTCAATATATAGCTTAGGAATCATCATGAGAATGAAAATCATGAGTTTGATTATGTAACTAGCTGTACAAAACATAGATATCACAATTATCAATCAAGACCAAAAATGAGCCCATTTTTCAATCTTCTTCCGAAAACTCAAAAGGATGCAATTTTAAAACGATTTTTCACCTCTATGCCATTTGGGTTTCAATTCAAAAATCCAAATAGCACATAGAGGAACCAAACTTTGCAGTTGCGGACACACAAGATTAACTTGCCTAAGTCAGCCAAAGAGAGAAAAAGTTTGATCTTAATCCACCATCAAGAGTGTGGGAACTGTTCACTATCCTAGAAGGTTGTAACTATTTCTACAACTTGAAGGTACATAACTTCATGTACAAATATCACAAAACGTTGCCAATCTAATCGAATAATAAATGTAGAGACATATATCAAAGCATCTTAAAATACATAAATAGATCAGAGAAATACAAGAACTAGACATACCGTCATAGGGAATACCACACTGCAAGCAAACTTTACGCCCAGCCTTGACATCTTCATCGAAACAAGCCTTGCAAATGGGGAAATTACACTCGTGGCATGCCACGAAAACCTCCCCATTGGCACCAAGCCCCACCTGCTCGCCGCAGACATTGCACACAGGAGCCACGGACTGCATCATTTTGGACAAATTCGAAGCCTTTCCTCAATATCCAGAGAAACCCAAAAGTCCAAATGATCCTTGGAAAAAGGGGTCACACTCCACTTGCCAATCTGAGGCCTGTGGTTTCATACGAAATGCCGAAACCCCAGTTTTGTAATGGCGAGAAGGAAGAGGTGGATGGAGTGTGGTGGTTGGAAGGGTGTGTAAGTTGGGGTGTTGGTGTCATTGTTTTTGCAGAGAAAGGAGAGAGACTGAGAGAGAGAGAGAGGTGGGAAGCTTAAGCTATGTATTGTTTTTCTTTTGTTTTTGCCTGAAGGAATGAGATTTTAAATTTTTGCGGGAAGTCTAAGGAAGGTTTCGGTTGGGCAAGTTACATCCTTGAACCAACCGACCTCTGTCAACCTGTTGATATTTTCCCACCAAAAACCTCGGATGGACTGGAGTTGGGTGTCTTTTACCTTACTTCGCAAAATAAAGGCCCTACAAGCATGCCTTGTAAAATGGCTTTGGTAATTAACACTAGCAAATGCCCACACACACTGCGTGAACAATTCATTTCATTTTGTTTTTTATTAGGAAGTGTGATTAGTTTTTAAATTTTTAAGAAAATCAGTTATCAAAATTGGGACAATGATGAGCAGTTTTTATTATTATTTTATTTTTAATTCTTAAATAGAGCATGCTATACTAACTTGGTTGTGATGTTGCGATAAAAAGCAGCAAAACTTATGTTTATGTAATTACTAAATTGTTCTTGTAGACATCGAAATTTCGGTAAATAAATGTTGACCGGTAAATCAAAGTGTCAACGCTCATGTATTACATAAATTTTACACGTAACGTGTGACTCAACGAAAATTGAAATGAGTTGGAAAAGTCATCAAATAGGACACGTGTCAACACCTGGCAGAAACGACTTATTTCATCTGGAATATTATATTCAAAATTAGGCCTTGGAAAATTCTATAAATACAAGCCCATTTCATTCATTTGGGGGACCAAAAAATCATTAGGCAAAATTCTTGAAGCTCTGAAGCTCTGAAACTCCGAAGCTCTCAAGCATCCAGGTTCCCGAAGAATCAAGAAAGCGTTCTTCGTTCATCGTTCATCCTAAGATCAAGCCCCGACGGCCCGTTGGATCAACAATCATCCACCAATTCAAGATCAAGCCCCGACGGCCCTTGAAGAAAGCGTTCATCGTTCATCAACTGTTCATCCTCAAGGATCAAGCCCCAACGGCCCCTTTGGATCGACAACATCAACAAATCCGCTCATCCGCTGTTCATCAAGCCCAAGTCCTGACGGCCCTTGAAGAAAGCGTTCATCGTTCATCACTGTTCTTCGAGATCAAGCCCAAAAGCCCTCGAAGATCCGTTCAAGCCCAAAAGCTCTCGAAGATCCGTTCGTCACTGTTCTTCGAGTTCAAGCCCAAAAGCCCTCGGAAATCCGTTCATCACTGTTCTTCAAGATCAAGCCCAAAAGCCCTTGAAGATCCGTCAATCACCATTCTTCAAGATCAAGCCCAAAAGCCCTTGAAGATCCGTTCATCCTCGTTCATCCAAGATCAAGCCTCGACGGCCCTTGGATCAATCGCACATCCCACAAATCAACACCTTACGGAGATCGAATCAGAGGATCAAAATAGAGAGAGATTGTAACCCAAAATTATCAAAAATACAAATATTTGTTTGTGCACGTTGTTCTTGTCTCTTTCGTTTCAGGAATTTTCCGTGTTCACAAATTGGCACGCCCAGTGGGACAATCTCTGCCTCTCATCTCTTTCTCCGTTCAAGAAATTCAAGCGCACTTCCAAAATTAATGGCATCAAGGAAGGCTCAATCTGTTCCTGCAACCGGCGCAAAGAACAAGAGCGTCCTCGTGGCAAGTGGTGTCACTTTGGGCATCACGACTCGAAGCATGGCAAGAGCTACTTCTGCCACCTCTTTCACCTCTGCATCAACTCTGCCAAGGGAACAAAAACACCCAAGGCACGAGCCTTTGATCACCTTAGCCTCACTAAGGGCACCAAGGGGGGAAAGCCCAAGGAAATACTCCGAATCCATGCTCTCCGATGCCGATTCAAGCGACAGTTCAGCCATGCAAGTCATGACCATTGGAGCAACCTCAATCGATGAGCAGCTGGCTCAAATGAATGAAGCAATCGCAAGGCTAACCCGAACTGTGGAAGAAAAAGACTTGCAAATTGCAGCACTAGTCAACCGACTAGAGGTGCAGGACGGCGATAAACCCGACCCAGAGAATGATCCACTAAAGAGAAGAGAGGACGAAGAAGAGGAGCCTCATGTGGAGAAAAACGATGCGAAGCCGGAGCCAGACCAAGCAGCGGCACTCATGGGATCTCTTTCTATCCAGCAGCTACAAGAGATGATCACCAACACCATCAAGGCACAGTACGAAGGGAACTCATATACCTCCGGGTTGTACTCAAAGCCGTATTCAAAGAAGATCGACGCTTTAAGGATGCCGAAGGGTTATCAACCACCAAAGTTCATGCAATTTGATGGAAAGGGAAACCCGAAACAGCACGTTGCCCACTTCGTTGAAACTTGCAACAACGCAGGAACCGAATGGGATTACCTCGCCAAGCAGTTTGTGCGCTCGCTGAAAGGAAACGCCTTTGAGTGGTACACAGATCTGGAGCCTGAGTCCATCAACAGTTGGGAGCAATTGGAGCGGGAATTCCTCAATCGCTTCTACAGCACCCGCCGCACTGTGAGCATGCTAGAGCTAACAAGCACGAAGCAGTGGAAGGACGAACCAGTCATTGACTACATCAACAGATGGCGCACTCTAAGCCTCGACTGTAAAGATAGGCTCTCGGAAACCTCTTCAATCGAGATGTGCATCCAAGGCATGCAATGGGGTTTGCAATACATCCTTCAAGGCATTAAACCGCGGACCTTCGAGGAATTGGCCACTCGCGCCCATGACATGGAGTTGAGCATCGCCCATCATGGGAAGAAAGAACCGATCGCCGACTACAAGAACGACAAAGTTCTTGGGACAAAGGTGGAAAAGGGTGCATGGAAACCCACCAAGGAAGCGATGACGGTCAACACATCTCCCATCAAAATATCCACACGAGGCAAGGTGATTCAAGCCGAAGGCTTTCGTGATCAAGAGAGATGCGTAGACACACTTTGAAGGAGCTTGAGGAGAAAACTTATCCATTCCCCGACTCTGATGTGGTTGCCATGTTAGAAGACTTGCTGGAAAAGAAGGTGATCGGCTTGCCTGAGTGCAAACGGCCAGAAGAGATGAATCGCACCGACAGTCCAAGGTACTGTAAATTCCACCGCTTCATCAGTCATCCGACAGAAAAATGTTTCGTGCTAAAAGATCTCATCATAAAGCTGGCTCAGAAAGGAATCATCGAGCTAGATCTTGACGAAGTGGCGAAGTCAAACTATACCACCTTCACTTCTGGCTCTTCCGACTCAAAGTTTTCACCTCAACCGCTGGGGGCATCCTCCAAGACAAGCAAAATTGAAGGATGGACTCAAGTCACTCCTAAGAAATTGCACAAGAAGCATACGTCTCCTCCACAAGTCCGCCAATCGGAAAGGGGGCAAAGCATCTCTTGTCAACCTTCAAAGCAATGTGAACGTGTTGAAGATGATGAAACTTCGACACGAAGATCGTCCGTCCCCATCACAATGCGTGATTTCTTGCCCGAAGACTTCTTCAATCACTCGGTCAAGGCTCCTTGCTACGAAGATTGCGAGGAACACCTCTCCCGGATTGCTTGACAAAATTCACAAATGCTCCTCGCCTGCACGAGCCTAAACTGCATGGCACAATGCTCCTTGTTCGCACGAGCCTAAACTGCAAGACATAAAGCTCATTGTCTGTAAGAGCCTAAACTGCAAGACACAATGCTCCTGGTCTGCACGAGCATAAAAGGCAACATCAACGCTCCTGGTCTGCACGAGCATAAAAGGCAACACCAACGCTCATTGTCTGCACGAGTTGAAACTGCAAACGACACCAACACTCCTCGCCTACACGAGCCTAAACTGCAAGACATAAAGCTCATTGTTTGCACGAGCCTAAACTGCACGAACCAAAGCTCCTTGTCCGCACGAGCCTAAACTGTAGGACACAAGGCTCCTCGCCTGCACGAGCCTAAAACTGCATGGCAAAACGCTCCTTGCCTGCACGAGTTGAAACTGCAAACGACACCAACACTCCTTGCCTGCACGAGTTGAAACTGCAAACGGCACCACCAAAAGAAAATACAAAAAAATATCTATGTATTTGAACTACGTTTTGACTTGATCTCTTTCTTTGGAAGGGTACGTAGGCAACTCGAGCATTCAATTTCGAGTTCAGTCACATAAAAAAAAAAAAAAAAAAAAAAAAAAAGGGTTTGATTAAAGTCTCATTGATGAAGGTCAATTTTATTACAAATTTATTTGCAATTTTCTTTGTACAAAATTAAATTACAGTTTCTTTGAAAAAAAAAAAAAAAAAAAAAAGAAAAACAAATATATATATGGACCCTAAAGCAACACCAGGCCCAATCTGCGGCAAGCCCATCAAAAGAAGTCGCCCAGGCCCTCTTTGTGTGAAGGACCATCTTGAAGGGTCAACCCAGCCACCTGTCTCTCTCTCGTTTCAGCTTCTTCTACCCGAAATCCCTCATCACCCACAACTGCTTCCATCGCTGCCTTCACTCTCGCACCCATTCCGTCAATCCAGTTTTTGACAGCGAGATCCTTCGTAGTTCCCTTACTCGCCCAGTCGCTCTGCCATCTCCCGCAGCACTTCGAAGCCGCTCGTCGACCCAAGAGACGACGGCCTCCGACTTAAAATCTGCTCCATACTCGACCTTCCTTTCAATTTTTCTTCCTCCCCTCCATTGAAGAAGCAGCAGCCATGCCGCCGCCAGAGGCGTTGAAGTCAGACGACAATTTCGACTCTCCTGTAAATTCGCGCCGGTGAAACCAATCATGGAGCTCGATCGACTTGAACGAGTGCAAAGTGTACAAGGCCGAGTCGGTCGGTGAGCCCACTGGTAAAGCCGCCGTCGATGTGTCAACTCGAACTGATGACAAACGGCATCAACGACGCAGAGCATGACAAGCAAGGTCAAGGTCAAAATCAAAATCAACAGAAG